CACAAGGTCAAGAGCACAAGACAAGAGGAAACAAAAAATACGTCAAGAACAGACGAACAGATGAGGCCGCCATCCTAGTTGCTTATGATTGCGGTCTCCTGCACTTTTTTTCAACAGATAGTTTGGATACTTTAAATTTATAATGTTTCGTTATTATGTACGTATGTAAAAAAAAAAAAAAAAAAAAAAACATTTTGACATGAAGTTAGTATTGTTTGTATATTTTTTATTATACCTTACGTTTATATGTTTTTTGTTATTCTGTTATTTTATTTGGAAAAATGCAGAAGAAAAAACATCAAATCAACGAACGACATATTTTTTTTTGAAAATTATTTTTTATATTCCACATAATCTAGATTTTTTGCTACAGCTTGCATGGAGCTATAAAAAAAAATTCATTTTATTCTTTTCCTTAATCAGTCAATGTTTGTTTTCAATTCAACATGTACTCTTATTGAAGAAATTAAACAAAAATTATTATGGAATGAAATTATTGTCAATATCATTTTCAGGGTTTTATTAGTTTTGCCAATTTCTTTCCTGGTATAACAAATCAATTCCAGGGGCCGCGGGCGTTTTTGGAAGGCAAGTGAAATTCCTCATTGTTAGAGGGGGGGGGGGCAAGATCCGAAGGACACAACAGCCAAGGAAACATATTAACTGAATGGGGAAAGACCAAACTTTGCATTCCACATTAGTTACACACATTTTTTGCGAGAGAGCGCAGCGACCCACCAGGAAAACTTTTGTAGTAGTAGACACTTTTGACCACACAGGCAAATTTAAGTGTTGTTCTCCGCTCTCTTAGTGGGTGAGGCAGCTTTAAAAATTAATTTAGATACTTTGTTTCTAAACTTCAGAGGGTGTGGAGAAGGGGATGGTCATTTTTTTTTTAAATTACGGGAGAGATATCCTCCATTCCCTTTGAATCACCAAACCTCTATGTGAGGCAATGATGGAAGTTGCATTTCTCATTTCACACATTAAAGCATGTCCTGTGCATTGATCATACGTAAGGAATCAATAGACCGATAGGGCTTAACATATTTTAAAAAAATGAAACTCGGGAATTCTAGGGCATCTAAAGCTTAATTATCGTATGTACAAAATTTGGTATGTACTGGAAAAATGAGCAGATCCTGTATCTATTTTGTCTGTAAGCTCGTCGTAGCTGGCGCTAGTCGAGAAAGAAAATTTATCTTCATGAACAAGATAAGGACTATATCTGTCATACACAGCAACCATCTCTGTCTCCCTCTTTTGACAATCAGAACTATAATTTATGAACTGTTCTGCAATCACGTTATGATATTTTGTTTATGTTAAAAGCCCCACTGCAGCTACTTGCGCCCTCTTTATAGCAAACAATGCCAAATCGGTGACCATTTATCCCCATGATCCCTTTTGTCTTAAGATAAATGAAAGCTGTTTTGATGAGAAAACCACTTGTCGGTGACCACTCAGGGAGATCTAATCCCTCCTGGCCAATCTAGTGCAGAGGGGCTTAACCTATTATCATAGAGAAGATTATCCTAAATAAT